TTCGACTACGTTGTTTGTGAATACAAATTGAGGTTGAAGTTGAAACTAGCACTAAATGAAGTTCTAGTTCAAAGTTCGACCAAAGTTTGTTTTAAGAATACGGGCATAAGTGTAGAAACCCACTTAAACACGAAACGTCTCATAAAATTAAATACCATTGAAAGAAACGAAAGCTCGCATTATATTTCTGAAATTTGTATTAATAATCAAAATTATCGTCAGCATTACGATCAAAACCAACAGATACCAGAAATATAAAACTGGGATAGGCCTAGGGTTTGGCTTTATCCGAAAAAATTATGAAGTAGAGTAAAATTAAAATTGAAAGCAAAAGGCAATTTTCATAAATTTTTGTTAATTATATCGTTTTACAGTTAGTCTTTAAAGTGCTGAGATTTTTCATTTCTTATATCATTTTTTATTATACTTAAGATTATAAAATAAGACTGACATCTAGGACAGACATACATTCAATTCACAAAAGTAGATACCAGTTTTAAAGAAATAATCTAAAAAAAAAAAAAAAAAAAAAAATGAACTTCATATACCCTGTAGCTAGACACAAGCACAAATGTACCTTTATCTGATATAAATCTGGGCAGTTGTCCTATAATGAATCTATTTCAATGTTGATTAATCTGGAAATTTAGAGGAACAGTATATCTATCATATGTGACAAGAGGCCTTCAAAAAGGTAAAAACAATCTTCTGTAGCTAGCTGTTAAATGCACTGCTTTCACCCCTCCTTTACTGATGAAACCCATGTTTTGCTGACAATGTTTAACCATTCTATACTATTTTAATGTTGATTAATCTTGAAGTTTGGTGGAAAGATAAAGTATTTTACATCGTATTTTGATGATCAGGATTTTAAAGAAGGTATTGCGTACAGGGCACCATAACCTTTAGCTCTAATATCGGCGCTGGTTGGAATGGCTTGCCAATGGTTCTGGTGGTTGAACGATTCTCGGATAAGAATTTTAAACCATAGGCCCAGTGTACATATTTGGCTCGTGTGCACTTTAAGGAACCCAGTACATTCTTCGAGAAGAGTAGGGGGTTACCCCTGTGTACTGGTCCATTTAGTCCCCTGTTGTTAAATGGATATGCCACGTAGGACAAGTGATTAAGTTCACTTATTGGCATATCCTTGGCGCTCGTGCCTAAAGAAATTAGATGTAATAAAAGTATTTGTTAATTGTTGATATACCACAGCATATGAAGAGGACTTGGAAAAATCGCCCTCAGTCAGCCAGCAGTGTTATCACTAGATCAGTGACCAAGTTTTATTATATAATGTATTAATTACGTAGGATCAGTGGCAATGCAAATCACGAATAAACAATTCTGAATCCATGTTTATAGCAATTAACAGTCAATTAAGAATATTATGTGCCCTTTGTTGAGCTTTGTTTACTTGACTGCCCGACTGAAACATACTTTGTTATTTTATAATTCTTCCATAGAGAAAGAAAATAAACCAATATATTTTATATTCTTAGTGAAAATAAAATACCCAAGGATTTGAATGGAATACCCTAACCCAAGACCAATATCTTGGGTAAATAAAGCAGTGGTCACGTTGCAAGAAACTGTTACACACATAGTAGATCTTGATCACTGATTAATTCCTTGTAATAAACTTTTTTATGCTAATTAGCTGTTATGTTCCATTGAATGAATTGTTAGGGAGCCTCGCAAAATAAAGCAACGCGTATACGAGTGGACCACGCGATGCGATTAAAGGCAGTTTAATCCCATAGTTGGCCACGCGTTGGGATTATTTTCCTGGGCTACTCCACTTCGTAGTGGGGAATTGATAACAGGCTTAGTGTAAAAACCCAATTAACACAAACAAAAACGTCTCGTATAAAAATAAACCCTATTGGAAGTAACGCAAGCTCACGTTATATTTCTGAGAATTACATTAAAAATTTATCGAGATTATCATCACCGTTACGATCAGAACCAACAGACAGCAGAAATATAAAACCAGGAGAGGCCTAGGACATAGATATTATACCTCCATGGATAGGGCCTAGGCTTTGGCTTACTCAGAAAAATTACGGAGTAAAATTAAAAATCGAAAACAGGCAATTTTTATGAAATTTTGTTTAGGCCTAATTATATCTTTTTACAGTTAGTCTTTAAAATTATCATTTCTTATATCGTTTTAGTATTAATTAAGATTATTAAATAAAACTGTCAGTATATCCATTGTACAGTATGTGACGAGAAACGTTTCAAAAAAAGCAAAAACAATCTCCAGCTAGCAGTTACATGCACTTCTCTCACCATTTTCTACCGATGAAACACATATTTTGATGCGGCACAAACCTAGACTCTATTTTATTTCAATATTGATTAATCAAAGTTTAGTGTAAAAGAATATATTTATTATATATGATTATCAGGCTCTTTAAAAAAGGTATTGTATTGTATACTGTAAAATATTGTTTTCTCCATGTTTTCTCTAGATTGCCGTTCAATGTATTGTTTTCACCCCTTTTTAAACAGCGAAGCACATGTTTTGTTGCGTCGTTGATTAACCATGGACTCTACCATTCCATATGGGTTATTAATTTTATAATAATTTTTCAAAATAATTAAATTTAAAATGTATAATCATTAAATCGTTTTTAAACGCTTGAATGTACCAGATGACTATATTATTTTACTACAGGAATTTTAATTTCATTTATAAAACGCACTGGTAATGTATAAAAGTAGTTTTCAATTGTTGATACGCCACGGCGTATCAAGTGGACTTGGAACGTCTTCCTTGCAGTGTACTGCATCACCGGGCTGGAAGTTTAGGGCCTGTGGTTTTGACATACTCTACAAAGTAAAAGTTAGACTCTGGTCCTGTACTCAATGGGCTATGGGATATTTACTGAATTACGATCTCTTAACATATCATTATTTCATTCTTTAAATTGCTTTTTCTATCCATTGATTTATTGTCTATAATTTGTTCCGATATAATAGTTGGGAATTTAAAATTTAAAATATATTATGGTAGGCCTATATCAAAAATAATTAGTGTACAATAGGCCTACTATTTGTAGTCCTATTCATAATAAAGTACAGTGACCGCCAATAAATACTCAAAATATACGATGAATATCAGAATTTAGTGCCGTAGGCTAAGCTAGGGTGGCATTATTTTTTCCCCATTTATTTTCATTCATTCTCTGTAGGTCATTTTAAAAACAGACATTGGGCCTGGGGGTAGAGGAATGGCGTTTTCGGATACGGTAGCCATTTTTTGGCCTAGATTATTGTTGTTCAGCTTCCAAAATGAAAAAAAAAACAAAAAAAAACAACACTAAAATAAATGTATTGTGTTTAGATCAGATTATCATACAAGCATATACAAGCGACTGCACACACACACAGTAGATCTTGATCACTAATTAGGCCTATGTTCATGTAATAAACTGTTTACGCTAATTAACTTTAATTTATGTTCTACTGAATGAGCTG